CAGACGTGTTTCCTTATCTGATGCAGTAAAAGACGTCCTGTGTTGTACAGATTGTTCAGCGCTCTGAGGCAAACTGTGATTTGTGATATTGGGCTATTTAACCAAACAGGTGGGTACATAGTTATGGAGGACTTGGAGACATTGAGTTTCTATGTAGAGGAAACAAAGAGGATTTTACAGATGTTGAGATTATTTGTTGGAACGTTTACTTGGACTTACCGATTCAAATCGTGCTTTGGATTTTTATAAAGGCAGACGATTAGAACCACAACTATCACGAGAACGACAACGAGAACGCAAACAGCAATCACCCAGCCAGGGTGAGGGGGAGGATCTGTAAAACAAAACAAGAACCAGATCAGAAGAGTCTTCCTGGTTTAAATGACGCAGCACAGCTGAGAATGTGTCACATGTTCACAGCCTGATGTGCTTCTGACGGACTGAAGTTTGGATTGTGAAAACTTCTTTAACGTGATCTATAGTAAGAAATCATTTGATTTCTTCAATTAAAACATTTTTAGTGATTAATGGTTGAAGGTGTTTTATGATACAGGGAGATGAACTCCAGCATTGTGATTGAGAGTGAGTGTTCCGTATCACTGCGCACTCAAAGTAACAGGTTAGCTTTTGCACAACCGTTAGTTGACATCTTAGCTTTTAGCTCGGTGGCGATTGCCCAAAAAAAAAGACCCGGAAATCCCTCAAAGTGTCAGGCAATGCCAGCTTTCGCAAGCGGACAATTAAGGTAAAAGCAATAAAGTACTTGAGGGTGTACTTTGTCGTCCAATAATGTAACCGTTGGGGGTGTTGTTATTAATGAAGTCGTCTCCTCTTTCAGTCTTACCAGTACTTTGGTAGCAAAGTTGTTCAGCATGAATCAAGTCGTGGGTCCTGTGAACCTGGTTGCTATGGATACAGATGATCACGTTTTTCAACAGGTAGACCTGGAGAGAAGCCCCAGAGGTCGTGACCTCTGATCGCTCTCCTCCCTCCTGACTGCAGACTCGTTTAGAACATCTGAAAGTGCTGCTGATGTTTGAGTTGTGAGTCCTGCAGGTCACATGGAGGTCACATGACTCTGAGCTGTTGGAGTCCACTCGGTCCACGACCAGTTCAAGTGGAGACACTGGTCCTGAGGGGGGGGGAGGTTTCTGTGAAGAGTTTATGAAACATGGCGGCAGAAACTATCAGTGAAATGTTTACAGACTCACCTTGAACTGTGACCTTGTATTCAGTCAGTAGTTTGTCTCCTGTAGGTGTTGCTGCTACAGCAGAATAAACTCCACTGTCGACCTCTTGTACATTCTTCAATATCACAGAGAATTTATTCTCATCTAACTGAACCCTTCCAGTGAAACGTGGATCGACATGTGATTCTCCACTAGGTTTAAATCTTACTAAATCGACTGTTTTATTGATTTTCCAGTCAACATATAAAACCCCCTCAGGAGGATCAGCATGAAGCTTGAGGAGCAGATCATGTCCCTTCTGCACAAACACAGGAGTCACACTGGTTCCTGTAAAAACAGTAGACACATGACACAATAAACATCACACACAATATGTGATGAATCATTCACTGCTGAATGTTCCTCCATCACTACACTTTATTTATTACACATTGAACCAGCGGTTCACCTTCAGCTCATCACTGCTTAACATGAAGTGACAGAAGTCTCTTCAAATGTCTCACGTCGTCTCTTCCTGAGGACACAGAGAAGCTTAACAGCAGAAACTAAACCCACTGAGAGCAAGTTGCTGCTCAAAGTTCTTCTTCTTGACGTGACAAAGTATTTCCATTCTGTCTCTTTGTCCTCTTTCCCTCCGTCTCACCACACTAATGTCCCCCAGCATCATTGTGATAGAGAGTGAGTGTTCCGTATCACTGCGCACTCAAAGTAACAGGTTAGCTTTTGCACAACCGTTAGTTGACATCTTAGCTTTTAGCTCGGTGGCGATTGCCCAAAAAAAGACCCGGAAATCCCCCAAAGTGTCAGGCAATGCGAGCTTTCGCAAGCGGACAATTAAGGTAAAAGCAATAAGGTACTTGAGGGTGTACTTTGTCGTCCAATAATGTAACTGTTGGGGGTGTTGTTATTAATGAAGTCGTCTCTTTCAGTCTTACCAGTATTTGGGTAGCAAAGTTGTTCAGCATGAATCAAGTCTTGCGTCCAGTGAACCTGGTTGTTATGGTTACAGATGATCACGTTGTTCAACAGGTAGACCTGGAGAGAAGCCCCAGAGGTCGTGACCTTTGATCGCTCTCCTCCCTCCTGACTGCAGACCTGGTCGTCACATCTGAAAGTGCTGCTGATGTTTGAGTTGTGAGTCCTGCAGGTCACATGGAGGTCACATGACCCTGAGCTGCTGTTGTCCACTCGGCCCACGATCAGTTCAACTGGAGACACTGGTCCTGAGGGGGGGGGAGGTTTCTGTGAAGAGTTTATGAAACATGGCGGCAGAAACTATCAGTGAAATGTTTACAGACTCACCTTGAACTGTGACCTCGTATTCAGTCAGTAGTTTGTTTCCTTGAAGTGTTCGTGCTTCAGCAGAATAAACTCCACTGTCGACCTCTTGTACATTCTTCAATATCACAGAGAATTTATTCCCACCAAACTCAAACCCTCCAGTGGAATTACGAAAGACAGTTGCTTCTCCACTAGGTTTAAATCTTACTAAATTGACTGTTTCATTGATTTTCCAGTCAACAAATGAAACATTCTCAGGAGGATCAGCATGAAGCTTGAGGAGCAGATCACGTCCCTTCAGCACAAACACAGGAGTCACAATGGTTCCTGTAAAAACAGTAGACACATGATACAATAAACATCACACACAATATGTGATGAATCGTTCACTGCTGAATGTTCCTCCATCACTACACTTTATTTATTACACATTGAACCAGCGGTTCACCTTCAGCTCATCACTGCTTAACATGAAGTGACAGAAGTCTCTTCAAATGTCTCACGTCGTCTCTTCCTGAGGACACAGAGAAGCTTAACAGCAGAAACTAAACCCACTGAGAGCAAGTTGCTGCTCAAAGTTCTTCTTCTTGACGTGACAAAGTATTTCCATTCTGTCTCTTTGTCCTCTTTCCCTCCGTCTCACCACACTAATGTCCCCCAGCATCATTGTAATTGAGAGTGAGTGTTCCGTATCACTGCGCACTCAAAGTAACAGGTTAGCTTTTGCAAAACCGTTAGTTGACATCTTAGCTTTTAGCTCGGTGGCAATTGCCCAAAAAAAAGACCCGGAAATCCCCCAAAGTGTCAGGCAATGCCAGCTTTCATAAGCGGACAATAAAGGTAAAAGCAATAAGGTACTTGAGGGTGTACTTTGTCGTCCAATAATGTAACCGTTGGGGGTGTTGTTATTCATGAAGTCGTCTCTTTCAGTCTTACCAGTATTTGGGTAGCAAAGTTGTTCAGCATGAATCAAGTCTTGCGTCCTGTGAACCTGGTTGCTATGGTTACAGATGATCACGTTGTTCAACAGGTAGACCTGGAGAGAAGCCCCAGAGGTTGTGACCTTTGATCGCTCTCCTCCCTCCTGACTGCAGAACCAGTCGACACATCTGAAAGTGCTGCTGATGTTTGAGTTTTGAGTCCTGCAGGTCACATGGAGGTCACATGACTCTGAGCTGTTGTCCACTCGGTCCACGATCAGTTCAACTGGAGACACTGGTCCTGAGGGGGGGGGAGGTTTCTGTGAAGAGTTTATGAAACATGGCGGCAGAAACTATCAGTGAAATGTTTACAGACTCACCTTGAACTGTGACCTTGTATTCAGTCAGTAGTTTGTCTCCTGTATCTGTTGCTGCTACAGCAGAATAAACTCCACTGTCGACCTCTTGTACATTCTTCAATATCACAGAGAATTTATTCTCACCAAACTGAACCCTTCCAGTGAAACGTGGATCGACATGTGGTTTTCCACCAGGTATAAATCTTACTAAAAGGTATTTTTTATTGATTTTCCAGTCAACAAAAAAAAACCTCTCAGGAGGATCAGCATGAAGCTTGAGGAGCAGATCACGTCCCTTCAGCACAAACACAGGAGTCACAATGGTTCCTGTAAAAACAGTAGACACATGATACAATAAACATCACACACAATATGTGATGAATCATTCACTGCTGAATGTTCCTCCATCACTACACTTTATTTATTACACATTGAACCAGCGGTTCACCTTCAGCTCATCACTGCTTAACATGAAGTGACAGAAGTCTCTTCAAATGTCTCACGTCGTCTCTTCCTGAGGACACAGAGAAGCTTAACAGCAGAAACTAAACCCACTGAGAGCAAGTTGCTGCTCAAAGTTCTTCTTCTTGACGTGACAAAGTATTTCCATTCTGTCTCTTTGTCCTCTTTTCCCTCGTCTCACCACACTAATGTCCCCCAGCATCAGCTACACTG